AGCTAATAAACATAGCTGGACTGAATTTACATGGTCTCTTGGAGTTCTTTGGGCTAGGCCTTGACACACACAGATAGATTTTCTCCATGACAATCTGTTCCTAACCCAGCCTTTCAGAACTTCTAACAGTATACCCATCACATCAAGTCTATCCACCTTGCTGCTGGTTGTCTGTTATTTGTAGGGCATGCACATATAATTAATTTCCAATTGAAAAAAGACCTTGAACTTGATTCTCCCTTCTGTCCAAATATTTAAAGTTCCACACTACACAGTTTCAGTTTCTAACCAAGCTAGATCACCATCTGTCATTATTTAGCAGCAAATACTTTCAGCGAAGACACCCTGCCAGCTATTTTTGGATCAGGTCATTGCAGCTAGCTATGCTAGATTAAACAGGCTGAAGGAAAAGGTATTTTTAAAGCTCTCAGATCTCAGCCAGCTTAACTCTGTGTTTTCTGTTGCAGGGGGGCATCTCCTTCCAAGTCAACAATAGCTAAAGAGACAAAGAACAACAGAGTTTTCTCAACTGATTTTCAAAATTGGTTCTTCAAAAACAATTGGGCACCTGACATCCCAGAGAAAAATAAGCAGATGATGCTCAAATTCTAGGCAAGGCTAGAACCTATATAAAGAAAATTCAAAATATGCCTTTTAAAGACGTATGAGACCAAAGGTAGGAGAAAACTTCTCGCAAGTCTTTTTCTCAACCCAGTTCAAATATGAGGCAAAGGACATGCCCAAGATGGAGGAAAGCTCTTTTTAACACTAATTTTCACTTTAAAATTAGTCTGCATTTTGTTGAGCCTGTTTTGTTGGCAACAATACAGAAGAAGCTTGTCTTCTTCCAGGATGATGTTTCATCTTCCCACTCTAATAGGAAGCCCTGGAATTTCCTGGGATCTCCCATCCATGTATTTCTGGGCAATTATGTTCAAGGCATGTGGAGAAGAAGGTAGCGTTACTTAAAACACTTTTGTCTCAAATTCCAAGAGTCAGACTCTGCAGTGATCCAAAATCTTGTTAATTAATTTACATGAAATGCCTACTTATTCATTCAAAACCATTTGAAGTTTAAAAATCCATTCTTTTGCTGCATTGACAAATGTATCACTAATATCTGTGTTACTGTATGTAAAGTTGCATGTATTTAAAAGGGTTCCTGAAAAAGCATGATTTGCATATCTAGGGACAGCAATATTTTTAGAAGACACATTTCTAGCTCTTAGGACAACAGAGAAGTTGATATGTCTATAATGCAGGGTAGAGCTAATATTAAGTAATATGTTAACATCAAGAATACGTTTTGTGCCAGACAGAAGAAGGAAGAGAGAAAATCATTACTTAGAGGGGCCTGACTACAGATAGAAGAGAGGAAACAGACTTGACCATTTCCCTAGTTTTATTTTCCTTGATGAAAGGAGAGTAGTTCAGTTTGTTTGTGGTTCAAGACTAATCATAAAAATACATCAAATAGTGCATTCATGCATGCATCCCCTCCCCCCAATATCTATATGCTACAAGATAGGCCTGAAACAGTTAACAGTGTAAAGAAGGCACCAAACGATTTCTATAAACCGTTGAAAGAATTGAAAGAAATTTTGCAAACTTTTTGGAGTTATGGGAAGATGCTTGCACAGAAGGGGAGTGGTAACTTCATGATCACAAGATCAATTAGGTTTTCCGGCAGTTGGTAATAGGAGATTGGTTCACCAATGAGTGAGGAACTGCCTTAGTCAGAGGAGAGAAGCAGAGAGAGAGTGACAGGTCAACCTGGCTGAAATAAAGATGGGGATGAAAAAGGGTGAACATGAGGCTGAGGAAACAGTGAGATCATCATCAGTATAATTGTTGAATTCCCCAAGGATAAAGGCAGACAAAGAAGAGGTGAAGAAAGGACAAGATGAAGAGAAGCTCAGCATCTGCCTTGTTGCTGGGCAACAGTGGGCATCAGAGGGCATAAGGAGAGAACCAGTGTACTTGAAGGCTGAAACAAGTGATGGGGAGAGAAAATAATATATAAGGCAGTGCCTGAAAATTTAAGTCTCAGCAAACAGTGTCAGGAGGACCTTCTCTGGGCTGCAAAGTAAGCAGGATAAGGACTTGGATGAGAGGCCACCAGAAAAAACAATGCTGTAGGCCAACA